CTGCACTCCACCGTCGATGAATGGTGCGGCCGAACCGTACGGGTCAAGGTCGACCACGTCGAAGCGCTTGTGCGGCTCGCGGTGCGTGTACATGAGCGTGATGGCGTCGCCTGCGTTCATCCTCACCTTGCAGTCCGGGTGGATGGCAGCTGCAGCTGCAGGCGTGCTCGGCGAAATCTCGTTCGATGGGGCTGCTGGTGTTTCCGTCTCGTCTTTGGCTGGCGCGGGTGCGATCGCGCCAGCACGAGCCTCGTCTTCCAAAGCCGCCAGAGCATCCTCGTCCATGTCCTGGTCATGCGTGGCCTCGTTGCCGGCCTCGGAGACGATCCATTCGTCGATGGGACGATCTGGTGGGAAGTTGAGCGCAACATTGCGCTTCATCGCCTCGACGGCCGTGGGCGAGAGGTCGTTGGCCAGCACCCACCGCAAAAGTGGAATCTCCTTGGCATATCGAATGCTGCGCAGGCCTGTCGCACTCAGCGCCTCCAGCAGCGTGAACCTGTAGCTACGGTAGTCGTCCTCGGGATTGAGCGCCTCGACCACGCTCGAGCTAGCTTCCTCGGCCGCGACAGCCGTAGCTGTGGCCAAGCCGTTGCCGTTCTCGTCAACTCGCGCCTTCTTAGCATCGGGCTGCTCGTCGGCCGCTTGGTCCGCATCATCTGCAGCCGCGGCTGCGGCCTGAGCTCCCTTGCGCTTTCCCTTGCCCTTGCTGTTCGTGGTGCTCTTTCGCTGTGCGGCTTTCAGGAAGCGTGCCTTCTTCTCGGCGTCCAGCTGCTCACTCCATGTGCGGATGGCGAGCGTCGAGAGGTCGCGGTTGAACTCCTGCACGGGGTTGAGGAAGGCCGCCTCGGCGGACGGCATGACGATGGTCGCCGAGTTCTCGCGGAAGGCGGACTCATGGTCGGCCAGCGTGATGCCCGAAGCTCGAGCGCGCTCCGGGGCGAGCAGGATGGGAGTAGGCGCCATGCTTGCGAGGTTCCTTTGGTATGATCGGGTGGGATGCGACCACGACGAGCTGGCGGAAGACGAGAGCAGCGACGGGACGGAGAGGCGCGGCAAGATGGTTGGAGCTCTACCCACGAGCTGCATGCATCGATATCGGGAGTGCGTCCCTGCCTGTCCAGATGCTTCCACGAGTTAGATGCTTCCACGAGTTGGTCGAAGGGACAGGTGCCGTGTATGAAGGAGCCATGCTTTGAACCCTGGCTGCCAAGGCTCAAATCTTCTCGCACAACCGCCCAAAAAAAAGAGCACCGAAAACCGAGATCTAAATCATCCACTTTTTCTCCACGCCGATGCTGCTCCCGATCGAGGCGCCTCTTGACCTTTTTTCCAGCTTTCACAGCTCCACATGCTGCACGGTCTGCTTACATGCGATGGCCAGGGTGCAGCTCGACGCGGCTGAAAAGGCTGCGCGCTGACCCAATGATTGCGACTCTGAGAATGGATGTGTTGGGTCAGGGTCACGCTGGAATGCAAGGGTTCGCGGCATGGACGGCGAGGATCTCAGAATCTCACCTTTGCCGAGGCCCTGTCTTCCTGGCGTGTGTAACCAGCTGTGAGTCGCTGGAAGAGCATCCGGAGCGACCACCATCCGCACCTAGACCCCTCTTCCACAGAGCATCGTCAAGGATGAGCAAGGTCCCGGAGAAGCAGGTCACGACGCCTGCGCTGTCTCGCATGAGCTCGTCCGCCGCCGTGCCAACGCGCCGGAGCGGCAAGAAGGTCATCATCATCGGCGCTGGTGCCGGTGGTACAGCGCTGGCTGCGCGTCTCGGTCGACGCGGACACGATGTGACGGTGCTCGAGAAGAACGATTTCGGCGGCGGCCGCTGCTCGCTCATCCACCACGATGGACATCGCTGGGACCAGGGCCCGTCGCTCTACCTCATGCCTGAGATCTTTGAGGCGTGCTTCAAAGATCTGGGCGAGGACATCCGCTCGCACATTCGGCTGCACCAGTGCAACCCTGCCTACCGCATCCACTTTGCCGATGGCGAAAAGATGATGCTCTCGTCCAACCTCAGCCAGATGGGCGAGACGCTCAACTTTTTCGAGAAGCGCGCCGGAAACAAGGAGGATCCGCTCACCAACTTCCTCGCCTTCCTCAAAGAGGCGGGCGAGAACTACGAGGAGTCCATCACGCACGTCCTCACCAAAGACTGGTCCGCCTGGTGGGCATTCTTCCGCCCGGAGCTCTTCCCCATGCTGTGGAAGACCAAGGGCCTGCGCATCTACGCCACACTCTACGACCGCACCACAAAGTACTTCAAGTCTCGCCACGTGCGCCGTGCTCTCACGTTCTCGGCCATGTACATGGGCATGAGCCCTTTTGACGCGCCGGCCACCTACTCGCTCCTCCAATACGCCGAGTACGCCAAAGGCATCTGGTACCCGATCGGCGGCTTCTACAAGGTGGTCGAGGCCATGGAGAACATCGCTCGCGACAAGTTTGGCGTCGACTTCCGCTACAGCACCAACGTCAAGCGCATCGTGGTAGACGAGCGCAAGGGGACGGCCAAGGGCGTGGAGCTCGAGTCGGGCGAGGTGCTCGAGGCAGACGTGGTGGTCAGCAACGCCGATTTGGTATGGACGTACAACGAGCTGCTGCCGCCATCCTCGTACGCCAAGAAGCTGCGGTCCAAGGACCAGACGTGCTCTTCGATCTCGTTCTACTGGTCGCTCAACTCGGTGGTCGAAGAGCTCGGCGGTCACAACATCTTCCTCGCCGATGCATACCAGGAGTCGTTTGACGAGATCTTCCGCGACGGCGACACGCCGACCGAGCCGTCGTTCTACGTGAACGTGCCTTCGAGGCTGGATCCGTCGGCGGCGCCGCCAGGCAAGGACACGCTGGTGATCCTCGTGCCGTGCGGACCCATCTCGATCCCGGAGAAGCCGTGCACGGATCCGAGCAAGGGTGCGCGCAGCCGCGAACAGTTCCAAAAGACCAAGGATCGCGCGCGACGCCAGGTGATCGAGACGCTCAAGAAGCGGCTCAACCGCCCGGACTTTGAGCAGCTCATCGACCACGAGATTGTCAACGACCCGTTCGATTGGCGCGACAAGTTCAACCTCTTCCGCGGCTCGATCCTCGGCTTGAGCCATACCATCCCGCAGGTGCTGTGGTTCCGCCCCTCGATCCAGCATGCGTCGTTCAACAACCTCTTCTTCGTGGGTGCCTCGACGCAGCCGGGCACGGGCGTGCCCGTCGTGGTGGCGGGCAGTGGCGTCGTGGCGGAGCGGATCAATGCATTCTTGGAAGGGCGCGAGACAGGCTGGCTCAGCTGGGAGGCGATCCGAGGCAGCATCTTTTTGGCCATCATCGCCATGTTTGGCGTCATGTTTGCCGGCTTTGCGGCGGGCTTCATCCTGCTTGGCCTGGTGATCGCCGTATCGGTGCACCTGCTGGGCATTGCCGACGTACCTGGCCTGGTGCGCAGCAGAGTGATCCCCGAGTGATCTAGAGATTCCCAAGATGTACTATACATGCTATAATCTGATATCCGTATGACCTTCATAGCAGCGTGTGGGGCGGTCGATGCGAAGCGGAGAGCAAAGATGGTTTCCGCTCTAACAGAGCGAATAAACATCGGCGACATTCTCTGGGCCGAGAAAGAGAGGCGGTTCGGGTCCAGGTCAACTTCGGGGCCCAACGTGGGCGGGCGGTGAGTCGGAGAGTGGGGAGGAGGGGCCTGCATTTGATGCGCGGTCTGAACCGCAGGCTCGGTTATCCGAAGGCGGTCTTGGCATCCGCCTCGTGCATTTTTGTAATGCAGATGGTCTGAGACTGCTCAAGTGCCCGGACGGTGAAAAGATCGGCGCGAGAGGAGGCGAACGTGGGAGCGGGGACGAATCCTTCTTTGTCTGCTTTCTGTTTCTTTGCTGTTCGCTTGAGTCCGCAGCGCGGGACGAGGGGTCAGCGCCAAGAAGCTCGGCCCGCGTTCACGTTCCCCTGTCGTGCAGGACCTCATCGGAACGACTCTCGCCGGGACATCGTTGGGTGGCCACGACTGCGAGACAATGAAAGCCGCCCTCGTGGCTGGCCTGCCTCAAAAGAAGTGGCAGAAGCCAAGAGGGAGATTTCCCATCGGACTGGAGCAAGCCTGGCGAGGCGGAGTAGCCGGTCGACGAAGGGTCTCTCTGAGTATTATTATAGGAGCGAAGTCGTGCCTGGTGAGCCCACTTGTCAAAGGGCGGGCTCGAAGCCGGCGGCGGCCAGCTAAGCCTACCGTAACTCGTGCCAAACCCGACCATTCTGTAATCATCGGCAATCATCCTGGCTCGATTGCGGACAGCACGTGCGGCTTGATCAAGACCGATCGGGTAGGGGCCAAGGATCGAGCTGGTTCGGGGCCAGCCACCACACCATCGATGAGTGCCAAGCCTTGTCATCTCTGGGCGGTGCGGTAGCGGCGTCATCTGGAGCTTGGCGCAGCTGACCGCATCCCCTCGCGGCCGCTCTTCCAGCTCGCCTTGAGCATTGTGAACAAGGCCGCAATCACGCTTCCACGACTCAACTCGACATGGCTTGGGCTGACCAGAACGCTACCAGGGCAGGCATTATCCAAGCAAGCTGGGCTAGTGTGGGAGCGTAAGGTGGTGTCCAGCGTCGCAAGGTGGCAATCAAGCAACCCTAGCTAGCCTAGCTAGCCTAGCTAGCCTACTTCCGCGTATCCGAGGCACGAGGGCGGAACAGGCGGCAGTGGAGCGGCGGTGCGCTAGCGTGGATTGGCGATCCCAATCAAAGACCCCAGCCCAGCATCGCATCTGATTCGCCAACGATATGCCCATCCTGATGGACGGACGGCTCATCCGCCTGAGGGGCGGTGCCATATCTCTACATTGAAAAGCGGTCGCAACGTGGATTGTATTCCAATTCAAGTCGCACTTGATTTCGCAATTCGCTGCGAGGCTTGGCGGGATGCCTACGGTTGGGGCTGCAGGTCTTGGCGTTGCGACGGAGTGCGCTCGCTTGGGCTTCCTCTCGTCCAGTGCCTCAGGGTGCGGGCCGAGTGAATTCTGGATGCGCAGCGCAGCGCCTGCCAGACGCACGCTGGCTCATCGGTGCCTGTCTCTGCTGCAGCCCGACCGCCGCTCCGCCCTTTTTCATTTGCAGCTCCGCCCGACCGCCCGCTTGTCCGCTTGTCCGGCCGCAAACTCACCCACCGCCCTCCCTCCCGCAACTCGGGCATGCGTCTGGCACGCACCGCTTCAACGTCCCCATGCCTTCAGAAATCGAGCCACGGACTGACCTTCATTGAACGAGGTTGTTGATGTGAAGGAGAGGACGAATGGCATTGCGAGGGGCAAGGGTGAGGAGGGGCGTAGCCGCAAGGGATTTGGAGCAGCCGCACGTCTTCGGCCTTGGCTTCTTGGCTCTGCCTCCATTGCTTGGACTCTTCTTGGCATTTTTGGCCATTGTGTTCTCGTGCCCGGTGTTGCAGCCTTCCCTCCCATCGTTTGCCCGTGGGTTTCAGCGGTGCCTTGCCTTTTCCTTATCCCTTGGCCTACGTGTTCATTGTCTTGGCTGTGGTGTGGCACCTCGGATGGCTCCGTTGCGGGCCGCATGAGTTGTCACCTTCTTTTGACCTTGGTCGCTTTGGGGTCCAGCTCGCGGGCGGCTGCTGGCTGCTGGATTCCGTGGGTCCGTGGCGTGGCTCAGCAGGACACTCGGTTTGCCCGGTCTCGCCCCTTCCCTCTCGTTGTCCGCAGGGCCCGCCCCTCGTTTCCCGCCGCACGTCCTCTGCGCGCGTGCCCGTCTGATTGAGGGGTCGAGTCCGTCGGTTCGCGACTCGCCTTTTTTTCTTGGCATTGCCGCATGTCCGCTTCCGCCTCGCTTCCGCCTCCTCCTCGAGACCTGAGCTGGCCGTGCCAATCCCAGGTCCGACACCACCGCCTATTGATCAAGTCTTGGCAGTCCCGCCTCGTGGTCGCCCTGCCGATTGTATATAGGCATTCGGGCATCTCACACCCTTTCGGGTGCCCCCCTCTCTATCTGCTCCCGTTCCACCACCACCGGCATCTCATTCCGACACACTTCCTACCGCCCAGCCTCGTATCATCTGCATCGTCACATCTGTCCGTCTTCACGACCGGTTGTGCTTCACCCTAGCTTCCTCTCCGTCTTGGTCCTGCTTACAGCTCCATCCACCTTCGCACACTCGAGTCCACATGCTTCCAGGCGGATCTTCAGGCATGTCTCGCCCTCATCCCACCTACCCTTCTGGCCCATGGGGCGCAGTGAGCGACCAGCATCAGCACAAGCCTTCGTCGCACCCCTCCCACCCTCACCTCGCACACTCGGCCTACTCGGTCACCGCGGGTCCTTCCACCTACCGCGCCCTCTCCAGCGGCCACATTGCACCCATCTCGCCGCCTCAGCACTCGCATCGCCCCGACGCTTGGGCGCATCGTCCCTCCGCCGGCCCTTCTCCCTCCTCGCCTCTGCCTCCGACCTACGCTGCGTCCGCTCCTGCCCCCGCCAGCCCCGCAGAGCAGCCCATCATTCGCACCACCCACGTCACCGCAGACGGCACCACCATCTACGCAGCCACCGGCCGAAAGCGCAAGCGTCTTCAAAAGGCGTGTGTCGCCTGCCACAAGGCGAAGCGTCGATGCGATGGCGGCCTTCCCTGCTCCAACTGTGACTTTAGCGGTCGCACCTGCTGCTACTCGGATGCCAACGGCAAGATGGTCATCCCCACCGCCCGCGTCGCCAACGAGGCCGCACCCGCCGGCGCCGTCGTGCCAGCTTCGACTCACTCCGGTGCCACGCTCCACCCCTCCGACGGCCGCTCGCCCAGCTACAACGCCACTGCCGCCGCGCCCAGTCCCAGCAGCAGCGACGTCTCGGGCCGCGTTCGTGCCAACACGCTCAGCTCCAAGTCGAGCCCCATGTCCATCGGCAACGCTGGCGCGCGGATGGAAGCCCTCTTCACCATCGACGACGTGGCTCCCGAGCGCAGGCGAGAGCTCATCAGCATCTTCTTCTCCCAGATGCACCCCTTCAGCTGCGTCATGGACGAGATCTCGTTCCTCCGCGACCTCTCCACCTCCGAGGTGCCCGCTTGGCTGCTCATGGCCATGTTCGCCCTCGCCGCACGCTTCGAGCAGGGCATCAGCGAAGCCGAGCGCGAGCGTCGCTTCTCGCACGGCGAGGTCTTCGCCCGCACCGCCCGACGCATGCTCTCCGAAGAGGACCACGAAGGCTACACTCTACTCGACCGTCCGGACGTCGAGCTCGCGCTCACCCTCTGCTTCCTCGCCGCCCACGAGCTCGGCATGGGCCGTCTGCAGCGTGCGCTCTCGTACTCCAACGATGCCGTCCGCATGATCGCCGCCCTCCGCCTCGCAGAAGGCCATCTCCCTTCCGCTCGCAAGGCCAACTATGGGCGCGATGCCTTTTCGTCGTCGTCGTCGTCGTGGCCTCGTCGCGCCATGTGCGAGCGCCTCGTGCTTCTCTCCTGGACCCTCGACATGACCATCGCCGCTTTGGCAGGCCAGACCTCGACCGTCCGTCGCGCCGACGTGCTGGCTGCTGTCCGCACCTTTGGCAGCTCGGGCGACGAGACGCGCGACGACGTGACCAAGTCGTTTGCTCGTCTCGCCGAGATCATCACCGTCTTTGGCCTCGTCATCGACTCGAACGAGTCGAGCACGCTGGGCGAGGACGCGTTGCAGTCGTGGGCTGCGGCGCTGGTGGTCGAGCACAAGTTTGACGACTACAACATGAAGCAGGCCAGCCGTCTGCTCGAGGAGCCCGAGGCGAGTGCTGCTTCGCACCGTGCTTGGTTCTGGGCGCAGATGCACCTCGTCGCCGAATGCTCGGTCTTCCTCATGGAGGCCCGCCGCGCAGGCGCTCCCCAGCCCGACCGCGGCCAGCAGAAGGCGGCGGTGGACAACATCCACCTCATCCTCTCGGTGCTCAGCATCACGGGTCGTCGCAACCTGTTTGCGTTCCCGGCGCTGCTCATCTGCACCCAGTACAGTCGTCCGAGCCCGGACGCCTCGAGGTGGTGGGCTACCGCGCGCCAGTGCTGGAACATGGCCGAGCACCAGATCGGCGAGGCGGCTCGGTTTTTTGTGCGGCCCAGTAACGACGCACCCTCTCCAGGGAGGGCTCGCAGCTCGAGCAACGTCGAGTCTCTGACGCTGCCTAGGCTGTCGAGCTCTTCGGCTGGCGGCGCCTCGGCCCGCTCTCCGGCGCCCTTGCCTTCGATCGGCAGGCTGCCGCTTCCTTCGCTGCGCCTGTCGCCGCCGCTGTCGGCCTCCTCTGCGCACTCGGAGCAGCACCGCTCCCCCAAGCAGTCGTCCTCGGGCGCCGGTGCTCTGCCTTCCTGGCGCTCTCGTTCGCCGCGAAGCTCGATCGGCGGCAAGAGCGACGGCGACGCCGCTGAGCAAGACGCCGCGAGCAGCAATGGTGGCAGCAGCCGCGACTCGTCGTCCATCTCGCCGCGCTCGGCTCCCATGGAGCTCGGCGGCGAGGAGTACGTGCCTGTCATCGCCAACCGCGGCTCGCGCTCGCCGCCGCTCGCAGCGCACGCCTTCACCAAGGACCCCCGCACTTCGTGGTCGCCCATCACGTCGCTGCGCGGCGAGAAGCGAACCATCTCGGCCATCTCGTCCTGAGACTCAGCTCTCCCATGTATTTCTAGTCTTACATCCATGTGCTCGGCTCAATCTGACCTGGTGCAACATCTTACCGTCCATTGTGCACTCTGCCTTGAGTCTGAGTTCGAAAGAGTCTTGAGAGCAGCAAGAGCAGTCTCGATTGGGAGCACAAAGAGGAGTGGGGTAAGCGAAGAGGGCAGCACTGCGTGTTGAATTGGCTTCCGTGCAGACAGGTGGACATGTGGAAGCCGATGATCCGCGACACACGCTTGACAGCGGGCGGCTCGAGCGTAGTGTTCGGAGAAAGAAAAAAAGCCGGGGCTGGCGCTTCCGTGCGTTCTCTGCGTTCCTTCGGAAATCCAGCCCGCAGAAAAGGGCACCGGCACAGAAGCGCGCTAAGCACCGCCCGCTCGGCAGTCCGCGAAACAGGGCTTGCACAAGGCTATGCTTGCATGACACTTCGGATAGCTTTGCTCGATGTGTGCATATGATTGGGCGGTACAGTTGGCGGTAAGAGCGGAACATGTGCGTGACACCCCTCGCGAGCGGTGTGCCAAGGACCCGGTTGTCGGGTGGCGCGCCAAAGGTACAAAACCCGACCATCGACTCATCCACCTCCACGTCTTTTCCAGCCTTGACTCTCATCCTTCACTCGACATTCCACTTTCCTACCCAAAGCACAACACAACCCACTCGCAGACTTCGATCAAGATGGCCGACGGTCTTGGCGTGCTCTCTGAATCCATTGGTGGCTGTCTGGCGGCTGTAGCCGCCAGCGTGCAGTACAACATCTGCAACACTCGTATGTAGCCGCCCGTCTGACATTGATGGTACAACTGCTGCCACTGAATCGTTGGCTGACTGTCTTGCGCTTCGTGCTGACTTGTTTGCACTGTTGCGGCGGGGATTGACAGGCGCATACGGTACGGACGCGACATGTGCGGATAACTGCTGCCGCTTCAACTGCGGTTGGAAACAGGGTCCATTGCCCGTGGAAGACTACCCGATCGCCAACTCGGAGGCGCAGCAAGGCGATGCCAAGAAGGAAGAGTCTGAGGGTGGTGCCTTGCCAGCGTACACGGCCACGCCTCAGATGTCGGCGTCTCCCCCAGCGGACGTCGCGCCGGCACCAGAAGCTAGCAAAGCTGCAGAAATCAGCAACCCTGCAGAAGCCAGCAAAGCTACCGACGTCAAGACGCCAGATCAGACATCCTAGTCCCTATACGTCCCTTTTGACCGGTGGAGCGGCGATTTTTGCGCTGCTTACGGCACTTTGCATGCTCTCCAGGATACCATGGAAGATCCCACATACCCAAGCAAACCACATTCATGTCTCGCGCATCGTCCATCCGTCAGCCGGCATCGTCTGTCTATGCGTTTTGCTGTTTGTGTGAAGTGCGTATCTAGCCGACGTACTTGGTGTGAGTACCGGAGCAAACGACGCGGTCGTCCTTGTCATCCGTCGCACCGGGCTTGCGCCCGAGGATCTGAACGTCGATGAAGGCGAGGTTGCGGCCCACCTTGTTGCTCCTGCCGCGGATAATGAGCAGGTCGCCCTCCTTGGCCGCGCCGACGTACGTGGCGTGGATGTCGACCGAGACACCACGGTTCTTGAAGCGGTCCGGTGACGTGCTTGCGATCACAATGCCTCCGATCCAGTCGATGATCGTCGCCGAAGTAGAGCCGTGCAGGATGTTCTTGCTGTTCATCAATGTCTTGCTGACCGGCACGTGCGCCTCGATGAAGCCTGGACTGACAATCTTGATCTCCAGCTACACCGCGAGCAATGTTCAAACAGCCAAGAAAAGGTCAGCGATACGTTCTCGCGGCGATACAGACCCATGCGCACTTACATCAGAGAGGAGGTACTTGTAGATCGGGTTGTTGTCCAGCACCTGCTGCTGCAGCTCATTGATCATAGCCAGCGTCACAGCGCCCTCGGCTGCGGATTCAGTGGTGGCCGCCATCGTGTCTCGTCTGTGGAAGCGTCGGGGGTGGTCGTGCCAACGTCGAGGCAAGGTCGGCTTATATCGACGATGTCAGTCGAATCATCTCGTCGGCCGGTCCTGAGCGGATCTTGGCGCCCACCCCAACAACCGCTCCAGCAGCACAGCCCAACACCGCGTCAACACGAGCGCGCCTCCCCCACACTCAGTCTTTGATGGAATCTCACATTTTTGTGGATTTTTTTCGGATGTCGGACTTGAGCTGCGCCTCCACCAAAAGCTTCTTGGACCCTTCGAGTCTGCCGAGTGCGAGCTTTGTCCACCATCCCCACCAGCTAATCTCCTCGCCAGCACAGGCGACCGCCGCAGATGTTCTCATCTTCGGCGGCAGGGCCATTTTGCCAAGGTCCACTTGGCTCCAGTACGGCACAAACCCCCTTTCAACGCCTCAAGCCAGTGTGCGTCGAGCTGCTCTGGCTCGCAGGTCGTTCCGCCGCGCCCGCACAGACAAAAGAGGTAGTCACCAGCCTTCGTCGCCTCAAGTCGACGCTTCAGGCCGTCATATCCGAGCAAGTCTCTATCGCAAACGACAATATCGCCAGCTCGTCCAGCTCGGCCTCAAGACTTGTGTCACGCACTCGGACCACTTTGCCGACGTCCCTGGTCAATTACGTTTTCTACCCGATCTCGGAACTGATCACCGCCGCACCTAAGGGCATCAGCAGCCTTGCAGACTCAGTGATCGAAGGCATCCTTGATGTATTGGCGCTGCTGGTGGATCAGTGGTGGACAGCATGGTCTTCGCAACCAGACGCTTCATCACCGCCAGCGTCATCCAAGTGGCAAGTTTGGTGCGATCTCGTGATCCTCGCGAGCTCAGCCGTCGGAAGCGCTCCAAATGCGGCGGAACCACGTCAAAGTGCTAGCGATGAGGTGAAGCTCGCTGCGCTGCGGGTTCTGAAAGAGCTTTTGACGGTGCGCTTCGAGGCTGGTCCGACTTCGGGCTCCCGCGGTGATGTTGCGGCTGCAAAGGCGGCGGACGAGTGGGAATGGGATGGTGTTTCCGACCTTCCCTTGCTGGACGATGCTGAAGAGCCGAGCAAGTCAACAGCTAAACGAAGCACGAACAACAAACCCTCATCGAACGGGGCATCTACAAGGATGGATCACAAAGTCCTATTCCCGACGCCCGAACATTTCAAGCACGTTGCAGCGGACAAAGTCGCCAAAGGTGCAATCAGCTTCGTCCTGTCCACTACCTTCGCCATCGCCGAGTCTTCTTTGGAGTCGACCGAGGTGCGGACTACAGCAATCGCCGTAGCTCGCTCCACTCTTCTCGTGTGGATCGGCGGTGTGTGTCCCCTCCCTTCCGACACGAATTCTGCCGCGACGCAAACGCCAGTGGTGCCGCTATACTGTATCGGCCAATGTCAGAGTAGCGACGAGCTTGCACTTCGCAAGGCAGGTGCGCTCCGCCTCCGCCCACTCCTACCTGGAATCACTTCATCCCTCACACGCGTCGCCACCAGCCGCGTGAGAGCCAAGCAAGACGGTACAAAGCCCAAGGCGACACCCGCGCCTGTCGCTGCAGCAGCGATCGAGATGCTCGGCGATCTGCTCAGGGCCACAGTCTCTGATATCTGCCTCGACGACATCATGGAAGAGCATGTGGGTGGGGCCGGACAGGATGGCGCATCTGCGTCCGACACCTCGCCGTCCGCCAATCTCACCGACCTTTCGCAATTCGTCGATACAAGCAGCTGCGATGAGAACGGGCTTGACATAGCTGCAGAAATGGCCAAAGAAGAGCCAGAAATGCACGCAGATGCACCTGCAGAGACGAGCAACCAGGGAAAGCTCAAGCAAGAGGCCAAGTGGGCGCTGTCGACGCTTGCTCAAATCCACCTTGCGCTGCGAACATTCTCGCCGCTCACGCAGCCGTCGCTTCCGGGAACATCGCTGCCCTCTACCGTTCCCACGGTGGTCCAGAGGGCGGTGCTGGGGCTTGCGGTCGCGCTACTGTCCGTTTGCGGAACATCGTTTGCCTGGCTCGATGACCATCTTCAAGGCATGGCGCGACTGGACGGAACCAGTGCGCAGGCTGACGATGCAAGGGTCGGGGAGGGCACTAGCACGTCGAGCATCAGCACTCTGCTGACCTGGATCGTCGATCTCGCTTCGGAGTCCAACACGACCTCGGTCGTCGAGAGCGCTAAACTCGCTTTCCATTTGCAGCAGGGAGCAACGACATTACCGGCATTGAAGGACGGCACCGCATTTTGGTCGTTGCTGATGCAGGCGCTCGACGCACTGCCTGCGGCTGTCACGGCGCAGAGCGACGACTCTGTCTCGCGCCTGGCATTACGGGTGAAAACGCTACTCCAGCTCACCTTTGCGCGTGCGGAAGAACATGGAAACGTTGCTCCTGCGCGGGTACGAGAAGCTGCGCTGGCGCAACTGGCACAGGAGCTGCCCTCGAGGATCCTGCGCCTAGTCGCGCTCCTCAAGACCGAACGGCTGGAATTCGTCGACGAGCACAGCGATGTTCCGGGCGCGCACGCCGGGTGGCGACTGCAACCTGCATTCGCCGGGCTTGAAGCGAGCACTTCCCGCCATTTGAGCCGCATGTTTTTCCAGCTTGGACGAACGCTCGCTCTCGCCTTCGTGCAGGAGCTCGGAGCGCGCCAGAAAGACGCCAAGTCCGACCGAGGCGATGTGTTTGCTGTCGTGCCGCTTCTTGTCGAGCGGGCTGCCAAGCTGCGCTCTATCCGACTACCGGGGATCATCAGCACCGGCGGTGCAGATCGCACGGATGGCGACAGTGCGCGAAACGAGAGCCTCTCGTCACTGGCGGTCGCCGCCGAACTGATGGGTGGAATCAGCGGCTGGATCGATAACATCGAGCTTGGCCTCCGCTTCGCAGGCATGGCTAACGCAGCGCAAGCAAGCAAGACTGCACGCAAGGTGGCGCATCGCCTCGGGAAGAAGGTCTTTGGCTTGATCGTGGATATGCTCGACGGCGACGCCGAAGAGGCGATAGCTGGCCGGCAAAAAAGCGATAATGTGCTCTCGCGTGCCAACCAGGCTCAAGGAGGTGCTGACGCATTTCACCGCGAGCACGACGTGGTGAAAGGCGCAGATGTGTCCCCTCAGGCCGTGTCAGCCTCGCTTGTTGAGCGAGTCAAGGGCATCTCGCTGGTGTCGGAAGACATCGAAAGCGCCACACCCTTGCGACATGGCCCCGCGCTCGACCTGGGCTTCGTGCGTGCAGCCAACCTTTCCAAAGTGTCCAGCGGAATTGTCAGCCGCGCTCAGCAGGAGCAGGCGATGCAGCATCGATACGTCCAGGCTGAGCGCAGCGTCGATCTTTCGAACGCGCTCGCCTTTGCGCTGGTCGGCTCGAGCTCCAAGCTGCTCGGCCAAAATTTCCGCTCGCTGCTCCTGCGTGGGGCCTATCCGCTCATCAGCGGCATGTCGGCTTCGTCCACGGCGAGCTCGGACCTCGTGCGACGTGCGTCGGCAGCAGCCATGAAGGAGATTGCGTTCAACACGGCGTACGGCGACGTCAAGAACTGCTTGTTCGACCACGCCGACTACATTCTCGGCTCCGCGTGCCAACGCCTCATCAGTGGGCTTGACGAGGAGCTGCGTGCTATCGCGAGCGGCGACGGTCGGTCGCAGAGCGGAGGTGCGGCTGTTGCGCGTGGCGATGTTGTGATCGATGCTGGTCAAGGCGATCGGATCGTGCTTCCACTGGTATCGGCACAGAGGGCGCCGTTCGTGCTCGTCGAGATGATCCGCGTGCTGGGCTCCGAGATCGTGCCGATGGTCGAGGATGCGATCGATGAGGTGCTTGACGCGCTCGACCGCTTCCATGCGCACCCGTCCATCTGTGGCGGACTGTTGGCGGTGCTCGACTCGATTCTCGAGACCATGGCAGCGGAACAAACGGCAAAGCAATCGTCTTCCACCAAGGCCAAGGCGTCGCTGCTTTCTGCGTCTGAGGATAGTCAGCAAACCGAGGTTGAAGACTTTGAGGCCTGGCTGGCTGCGCGTCGACGCGAGCAAGCTGCATTTGACGAGGCAGATGACAATACGGAGGGCAAACAGGCCGCAGATGAAAAGGAGGACAAGCCGAGCAAGAGTCAGCAAGTGGCGGCGCAGATTCTGGAAAAGGCGGCAGTGTTCCTAACGCATCCGTCGCCCGTGTTGCGAAGCCACGTGCTTGGACTGTTGCGCCATGGTGTCGAGACGCTCGCTCCCCAGGGCCGTACAGGCGAGCTGCTTCCGATTGTCAACAGTGCATGGCCGCACGTAATGACCCGTCTCGGCGCATCCTACTCGAGCGGAAGCACATCACGCTCCTCCCAACTGACCCCGATCATCGACCTGGACCGCACCGCCATTGGTGCAGCCGGTCGAGCACAGAGTGATGCATCCTACGCCCAGATCGAGGCAGCATTGGTCGAGAAGGATCCGCAAGTGTGGGTTGCTGCGGCGAGGTTTGTCGAGGCGGCGGTGCAGCATGTGCCGGACTTCGTTGGCAAGCGTGTAGTCGAAGAGGCATGGCCTCGATTCGAACAGCTGCTCACGCTGTTGCGATGGAAGTTCCATCCTCGTTCGGGACGAGCGCATGCGTCAGAGACACGCGAACGGCATGCGGTGGGACTGATCCATGATATCGACGCTGCACCTCGCCAGCAAAAGCGCTCGTCGAGAGTTCACGATCACATCCAGCCGCCGTTCATCTTGCCTTCGCCCACCTGCGTCCCGGCTCAGTTGACGCTCGCCATCGTCGCGACGCTGACGAGTGTCGTCAGAGGTATCGGTGCCAGGCTACCGGACGATGCAGCTTGGAACATCACCACCCAACCGTTCCTGCTGGATCTGCTTGATGCTCGTCAGCCACCAGCATTGCTCTCCGCGGCTGAGAGATTGTATGTCGAGCTCGGCCGCAGGAACGCTCCTGCGACTGTGTGGGCACTGCAGACCGCATTCCCAAACCCGGCCGCCAAAGCTCTGCGTGAAGGCGCGCCTGTACCATGCTTCCTCGCCCACGCGCGTGCCGCCGTCCATGAGGAAACACTTCACCAAATCGTGTCTCTCTTCACGGCCGCCTAGAAATGTCATGCTCATCTCCTGCTCACGGCCCTGGAAGTGCAATCTTCATCATCAAACGGAAGTCTTGATACGTGGGTGACAAGATGCGTCGCACCTGATGCATGAATGACATGGAGAAATGCAGATGAGACGGAGTTCGAGAGTGCAGACGATCGAATGGAGTTCGGCTGGAGCCAGGGTTTGAATGCTGAGGGAACTTTGGCGGGTCTGAAAAAGCGGATGGAGGAGAGATGTCGAGCTCAACATGGTGGTAGAAGGGGATGGAAACAAGGGGAGCTCAGAGGATGTCCATCGAGCTCTCGTCAGCTGCGCTCAGAAGCTGCTCGCGGTACCGCTGTTCCTCCTCGAGGTGCTCATGGGCAGGGTTCGCACCCTCGTTAGCGCTGAACGGCTCATGCATGCTCGCATCGGTTGTTTCCTCGCCATGGTCGGCATCCTCACGATCACCGTCAGTGGGAGCCACTGATCCCTCCACGTGTGCACTGTGGTGCGCGAGTCTGGCAAAGCTCGGGCAGGTGCCAGCAGCGTCCGGCTTCCGAACATCGTCTTCGACTGCTACGAGAAGGTCGTCTTCCTCGCAAGCGCACAGAGATGGTGGAATGGGTGAGCCCTCTCCTCCGGGCTGGTTCTCGCGACCGCAGCCTGCCGGCTTGGCAGCTTCCATTTCCGAGTCGTCGGAAGACTGGCATGAGGGCGTGAGGAGCATGTTGGTGGAGATGTCGTCGCGCTGCACGGCCGTGTTCATTTCGGGCGTGCTGACGGCAACTGCTGACTCTAGGCTCGAATCGAAGAGGATCGACGACTCGAGCTCGTCGTCCGTGTCCATTGCATGCGACATCTCCCGGCGCACCTCACTATCGTCGAGCATGCTTCTCTGCTCGGATGCAGAGATTTGCTGCCGATAACAGAGTTGCGCCCCGTGCGGATCGTGCAGCAGCAGTAAGACCAATCGTGCGTACTCGGACAAAGCGTATGCCTGGGCGATCCCAAGAAGAAGTGAAATGTGCCAACGCGGAGCTGAGTTACGAGCGATGATCACTTTGCTCGTCTCCTGGCGCAGATCCAACGTGTTCGAGCGAGTATCGTAAAAGTGACAAGCAGCCCAGTACAGAAATGCTGCTGACGCTGGTACCAGAAAGGCTACGGTGAACTGGCGCAGACGCCCATGCAAGGCCGCGGGGATGGGCATTTGGAATGGTTCTTTGCCCGTATGGGCTTACAAGGAGCCGCTGAACGGCCGAATCAAGAGGTGCCAAGCGAGCAACTCAGCGCAATGGCAATCGAAGGGGGAGATTGATGTCGACGAGGGGCGACGCCGATCCGGACGATTATGGTCCCGATGCCGTCGAAATTGGTCGGAGCTGGAAGCGAGCCGGTAGAGTGACGGTGGTTTAGCGAACGGATGGCAAGGCAGCGGCGCAGATGTTTGAGACAGCAGCTGGAACGTCGCTATTTGGCTTGCTTGCATCCGAATTTCTCTTTCTTGCATGTCGAATCGAGTTCTATTAATAATTTCGAGCCTTCGGATCCCACCCGTGCCAGCCGCCTGCGCAAATTACGCAGCTGCGGCTGAGTTCCGAGACGAGATGCGGCATGCATGTGCATACTCAGCCAACCGCCCACCTTGTGTCCCAGTCACGCACTCTTGCACTCTTTCATGATGCGGCCAAGAAAGCGGCTGACTGTTTGCGCGCATTCTCAAGAGCCACTCGCCAGGGCCGCCGAGTTGGGAGGGAGCCGCGCATTGCAGCGGCACGGGCGGCACGTGCGCACTGCACCCGAAGAATAACAAGCTGGCCAGGGAGAGCGCAGAAGGGAATCGTCACGACCCATCAGTTGCGCTGCTGGACTGAAGCTTTCTGAGCGCAAGTGTGCCTGAGCTAGAGGATCGCAACAATGACATTGCGCTCGCTTCGGCCTAGCACGTATGTGGAGATCGGACCCTGCGTTCGCGTCGGCCGCGCCGACCTGCCCCAATTCACCCGGACGCGGGCCTGCTTCGCATGGCAAGCGACTACACTGGCGGGCTCACTGATCGCAGCTCATCACGACTCATCGCGGCCCATCACGATGTGCCAAGGACGTCTCGAATCTTAGCCAGGGACGGTCATTGTCGCGCTTGTCGGACTGCTAGACCGGAGACGGAGTCTAGCGACTCTGGCTCGCTTCTAGCGATATTGTCACGAAACCGAGCTCTATCCAGACCAAGCCTAGTTTGAAGGCAACTCCGTTCGGCAGGATTGACTGCCCTGAGACATCGGTGGGGCGCTGCCTGGTGTGGTTCCGGCACAGTCTCTCCGGCCTGCGTACGCAAGGTAGCATCTTCCGCCGCTCCAAGTCACGAAATGAAATGCAGCGCCGTCACATCGGGCTTGGCGCGGGACGGTGAGCTGCAGCGGTCGATCCGACCGACCTGCTCAACAGCACCGACGCGCCTGCCGAGAAATTCCCAGTCCGCACGCGCTGTTCGGGAATGCTCTGTCATCTTTCGATGCAGCTCAACCGAGATCTCGCCGTGGTCCGCCAGCCGCCACTCAGTGCAGCTACGCCACCCCGCCTTTGCATTTTGAGCGACCAGCGTTTGTTCGCATGCATCTGCCTCGCCTGCACCTACAGCCCGAGCTCTTCGCCTGCACCCGCTTGCTCGTGATCTCGTCGGCTCGCGGCGACGGCGAAAGCACCGCAGTGGTCTGAAGAGGCACCGTTCAGTGCGGAGAAGCTCGGGTGCACACGCTGATCTCTCGCGCCCGCCTTGGATCTGTGGCCGATTACGACCAGGCGCCAAATCTGCCTCCGAGCCTTGGGTTGGCTCCAGTCTCCAAACCGCTAAGTTGGCCCTAGCCGATTTGGGGCCCCCAGCCAGGGTTCCTAGCCCAATTGAGCCAATCTCGCTTGTGCACTGGTCCAGCTCTGTCCCGCTTCCGGGGCGAATTTCTGCAGTGGGTTGCCCTCCAACGCTGCCTCTTGCTCGCGTCATTGAAGCAGAATTCGAGGGGCTACCTAGCAGCCAAAGCAGCCGACCGGCTGGCCCGAGTTTCAGGCAACAAGCTAGATGGTCGCGACGAGCAGAGGCCGCGGCCAAACAGGTTCCAGCTGATGTTGGAGAAAAGCCTTCTTTCAAACCCAGGCCTCGAATTCACTGCACGCGGTCTTCTCGCCCCGCATCAGGCGCTGCCGATGGGTCCCGTCGGCCTTGTCTCACCCGCCAAGAATGTAAGCGCTGCTGCTTTCCTGCACGGCAACAAGGATGGACGTCGCAAAGTGCTTCATCAGCCACGGGACGCAGCCGAGCTCGGCTGCGGCTCATCTCGCAGCGCGATCCACAAAAACGAGGCCTCGCTTTCGCCATGCTAAGTTGTAGCCTTGGGAGATCGATCGATATCGTTCCGTTGAACGATATCGAACAAGGCGGAGAAGCCCAGTGGTGTCTTTTATTATAGGACGAGCATCAGGATGAAACTGGCAGGGGACATCTGAGCCATGGGAGGAGCAATCTTGCATAGCGTTCGCGTAAAGTGCGGGCAGGTGGTGAGCCTGCCAGATCTGACCAGTCCCCTCGTTGGGGGCATGCAGACCTCGGAGAACCCAAACATCCGATCCACATGTCTCGAACAGCATGGCGTCAGTCTCGAGCTCCAGTTTGAAAATCAACTTTGCTTCTCCTCCTCCGTCACGATTTCATGCGCAGCTGCGTCGCTCGTCGGATCATGCGATCGAGCCCGAGTGCTGCAAACATCGCCTCGAATCTTAGCTGCTGATGACTGCCGTGCCCCTGGTGGTCTAGCCGATCCGGGGCCGTGCTGGATTGGCTCGTATCCGATGTCTCAGATCGATTCGGCCAGGCTCCCGAATCACTTGTCTGCCTTTGCCGGTGCGCTTGCCCTTCCATGGCTCTTTCCCTCCCATCCATCCGCGTTGACGCTCGAGGCCGCTGGTTCCTGCCGTCGTTGCTTTCGCCAACAGTGCCTTGCACTGTCTCAGATCCAACCTGCATCTGCTGAAGCCGACGAGATTGTACTGACGCCGGCGAAAGCGTTCGGGCTTGGCAGCGCGCATTTGCAGCAGCAACGACCGAGGGCCAGTCGCCAAAACTTGCCTTGGCCACCGTCGCTACCATTCTGCTTCGGCTCCAGCCGAGCATCGCGGCTTGTGTCTCGCACTTCCGAGCGAGCTCAGCAGGATCGCTTCAAGGATCTGTACTCGCCCCTTTAATTCCCGTCCTCTGAGCTATCGCGCAGGGTCGTCCTGCCCTGCCGCCTGCAGGCGTAGTTTCAGCCTAGGTCGCCGAGGTCCCAGTTGCCTCTTTTCGTCCATCTGCCCATCCGTCATCATTGACTCGGTCCGGTCCACGGACACGGAAGATAACCTTTCAGCACGTTGATATCGGCGTGACCAGCCTCACCGATAGCCAACACCCTTGTCCGCCGACACTTCGCATTGAGGGGTCTACTGATTTCGCGACGCTCTCACACGCTTCCATGCGTCTGTGCGAGCATCATCTTTCCGTACCATCAGCATCTCGGCATGTATCTTTACCGTCATTCTAGAAGCGCACCGTCGTCGACCCCACCATCGACAGCTCCGACTAAGACAGCCACGTAAGCCGCCTTGCATCATCAAAACCCACCTGTTTCGCCTTGCTTCATCACTGCAGATACGTTCTAGAACGACAACCCGCATCACCAAAACCATCACGACTCGTCTATTGGCTGAGGCGGTCGCACAAACCAATCTGTAGACCCTGGTCGTGGACTCGGACATACAGGTTCTGGTTGTGCCATCGACCACCCTGCTGATGCCACGCCCATCTTGATCAGCGCAGCACATTTGCGAACCTGTCCCACCGCGCACAGATTGCTTCGCGTTGTGTCCTGCGCAAGGGTCAGCCGGGCCATCTACTTTCCTCTCCTCGGCAGTCCGTCGCCCTCATTGTCAGGCCCTCAACGCCGTCGTTTCCGACAATCATCCGCTATCAAGTCCAATCCATTCTCTGTTGACGACTGTGCCCACCCGGCGTCTCGGACCTGATTAAATCGCCGTGTGCAGGTATCATGCCCGAGACGTTGGCAGCACATTCAATGGAGGCGGCAAAGCACTCCAGAGGTACTCCGCGACCGCAGCACGGTCAAGCTCTTGCAAACAATGGGCCGCGTGATTTGTGGCGTAATCTTGTTTGCTTGCGGCGCGTTCTCATCGATTCTTCGCCCACACTTCTCAGCCAAGGCCGGTTGAATAGACAACGACGGCACCAGTCCCGCCAGCATCAGCTGACGGAGAGTGAGCGGCCCGGGAGCCAAGAAAAGAACCCACCGGCACCATCTTCATCTCGGGCGCAGGAGAGCACGAGTTCAGCCCACTCATCTGGCAGCTATCTCAGCGATAGAAGCACAAAGCGGCGACTTGGCAGCGAGCCTGGCGGTGAAGCTTTGCCAATCAGCAAACGGGCCGAAAAAGTGAACGAAGGGTGAGTCGTGACCGGTCCGATGCCTCGTCTTCCTGTTACGTAGCGTTGCCACGCACATCGCCCGCACTTCATCTTGCCGGAGGAGATGGTCCGCTTGTTCGGTTCGCCGCTTTTCATCTACAGATCCCATCAGAGACGTCTCATAGTTTTTCAGCGGGCCCACCGTGGACCCAACTAGCTGGTAACGCGGGCCGACCTGGCTTTTGGCTCGCTTTCTGCGTGGACCCAAAGCTCGTCGAGGCGGGAGACCTTCTGTTGTCCTGCCCCTCGTAGCCTGTCAAACCTTGATAACCGGGCGGGCTCCAAACCTGAGCGTCCTTGCTCCTCTTTATGGCTCTCCCCTGCATCGCTTGGCCTATTTGCTGACTTTGGCCCTTGCCTTCGTCGCCGACCATGTCATCCTGCAGCTCTTCGCTCACCTACAAGCTCGTCTTGGTCCAGCAACCGACCATTGGATCGGCGTTCGAAGACAATTTGCTGGGGCGGCTTGGCCTTGCACCTCCACTGATCGTGGAGCTCCAGGTGTTTCGAGACGGCAAGATCTCGGATGCTACTGCCGAGCTTCCCTTCCTCATCTGCCAGTGCTCGCTGCTCGACGAACAGGGCAGGGTGGCAGATATGGTCGATCAGAGAGTAGGCTCTGCTTCGCAGCAGAGCCAGGAAGCAACAACCGCACCTGCAGCCGTTTCGGCCGTGCCGAGGCGCGGTCGGAGCGTCCGAAACAAGATCAGCCATCGTGGCGGCTTGGCCGATGGGACGGCGACGCCGCTCTCGCTGGACTCGACGGAAGCATCGACAAGCAGTGCCTCGGAGGATACCCTGACGCCCGGTACGGGAGAACCATCAGCAACGCAGCTGTCGGGACGAGACTCGCCGCAGATTGTCCGCATGCTCTATGGCACACTCGCGGCAGGGCCTCAGCAGTACATTTCGCCGAACGCCGACGAGGAGGAAAAGGCGTACTTCTTCTTTCCCGAGCTCAGCATCCGCACTCCCGGCCGCTTCAAGATCCGATGCACGCTTCTGCGGCTCTCGCTACCCGGCATGGAGGCGGCCGAGGTGGGAAGCCTCGCCTCGGTCGAGACGCAGACGTTCGAGGTGGTCAAACGCACCGACTACTCGGCGCCTTACATCACCGACATCTCGCGCCACTTTGCCCGCCAGGGCGTACCGCTTCTCTTACCTCCCGGTGTCTCTGCCGAGTAGGAAAGGTTGCAGCCGTAGTGCAACATCGTCGCGTACGCCTGTCGTGCTGCGCGTCTTACAACACCCCCGATTCCACACACGCGTTCCGGTTGCGATAATGCCCAAAAGAAAGCCAGTCAAGTGCCTTGATGCTGCGATTCTATTTCCAATGCCAAGTGCTGTCGGATGTGAGACCTCGCGAAACACACTGAGGCTGAGAAAGGGAGCGATCGAGGGCGGTGGGAGCGCCGGGCGAAAAGTGTAGCGATGCTTGGTGACCGTGTCTGTCGAGGGCCCACCGGGATTTTCTTTTTCCTCCCACCCACGACCGCACTCAATTTGCGTAAGTTTGCCGAAACCTAAGAAGGCCGAAACGGAGCCTCATCTCACTCGCAGTCACAGATGAAGTCGTGTCGAGAAACAAAATGTGGATTGCTGCCAGCCTGTGTCAGGCTCAGTCGTTGTCGCGCTCGTCAGAGTCGGCCTGTTCCTGCCTGCGCCGAACGTCGTTGCGCACGGGCACCTGGATGCCTTGCCTTGCCAAGCACTTGGCCAGCTCCGTCGACTCGGTCATGCCGGGAAAGCGACGCGGACTGTAGATAGCGAATGGCTCGGTGAGCGCTTCGGCCAACACCCGCCCGCCGGGACTCGAAGGGTCACCTGGTCCGAGCGCGATGAGCTTGAAGGCGAGGCGGAAGTGGCCTTCCTGTCGGATGCTGAGGTCGGTAAAGACAAAGAAGCACGCACGCGAGCCGTCGAGGTCGCGCGCCACGTTGGCACTCGCCACCAGCCGGCCTTCGAGCATTCGCGTGAATGGGTGGGCGGTGGCATTCGATTCGACCAGCACCGACTCGGCGTGCGTGCCTGTCGCCATACTTTGCTTGCGCAGCGAGACTTGGAGTATCAAGTTCGGGCTGTTTTCAGCACTGTTTGTCGGAGAAGCCGTGAGACGATGAATGCCAGGGCGGGTCAGCAATTGATAGGATGGAGGAGTATGGAGGCTAGTGGGTACTCACTCTTCGTCTTCGGTGCCGTCGCTCTTGAGTATGCGTAGCTGAAGGATTGGAAGCGGGTCCAGAGGGCGCTTGTCCTTGCTTCCCAGTCCGCAGAGGCGACCTTGCTGCGGTTGCTGGCGGATGATGAGCTTGTATGTTCTGTATGTGCACGAGAGGTGGAGACGGCGTGGATGCTCAGCAAGTCTACCCGATCAAAGCCTTGAAAGAAGCAGAGTGTGTACAAATCATACCTTTCCTGGAGGGAATGCTGCGGAAGCCCCGTCAGCATGGGCGGCGGAGCCGAGAGCCCAGTACGCAGATCCTGCAAGGCAGCGATCGTGCTGCTCGATGCCGACGAACTTGCTCGTGGCGTCTGCGACTGTGTGCTTCGAGATGATGGACTGAGCCCCTTGCGTGCTCGGTGAGAAGAGCTGTTCTGTGCCGATTCAGGCGCGAGGTCTCCAGCTGATGTCTCTGCGCGATGCGGAACAGCACCAGATGCTTGTAGCGATGCTGTCGTCAGAGACTCTACTGTCATACTGGGACTCTGATGCGCACGGCCTCGAAGCGAAGGTTGTGTACTGCCAGAGAAAGACATCTCCTTATCGTCGTTGTCGTCTGGACAGCGGCAAGAAGGTCAGGGTCGACGTTTTGAAAGAGGAGAGGACCGGTGGCTCTTTTAGCGACCGGCTCGATGACAACGTCATTGGCGCGACAAGGCGCGGAGAGACTTACCTGGTCTGATCTCTCGATCAGAATGGCGAGTGTGTATGCGCCCTGCAGTGGCTGGCGGAGTAGATCCGGCGGTCATATCGTGTGCAGAAGCGTCGGCTCGAGGATGGCGAGCTTGGGAGCCAGATGATTGGTCTCGCTCTTCCAGCGACATGTTGCGTGGGCTTGTCGGAGCTGAGAAGTCGTCAAGACGTAGTCTGGCAGATCAGTGTCGAGTGTCGAAGCAGCAGGGCTGCAGGTTTAGATAGCGTGATGGCGACTGATGCCTGCTGAATGCATCGCGGTCGGAGAAAAGTTCGGCGAACACTAAAGTGCGCTGGTCGTCTCCACCAACAAGAAGAGGCTTTTTGGCTCGGACTAGCGCGGCGAAGCGGTGCGAACGAATGGAGGAAAGTAGAGAAATGAAAGGGCGGAAGGGTGAGCTGCGAGCGCGGCGAAAGGGAGAGCAAAGTGCCGTTCACTTCATGCGGTCAACAGGGGCTGAGAGCGAGAGGACACAGCATGCCGGCGTCCGAAGCAGAGGAGAGTGACTCAGTGAACCCTCTGGAGATGAAGAGCGGGTGCGAGCGGTCAAGAGGAGAAAGTGAAGACGATCCTTGGAAGCAAGCAAGAAGAGAAGAGAGAGAATGGAAGGAAGTTGTGTTTCGGCGGAATTGGGCTCGGAACGCGAGGGCCAGCATGAGAGTCGCATGTTTAGAGATGCAGGTAGGCTGCATCTGGGCGACACGAGGAAGGAAGCGGCTACGTCCGTCCGAGCGACGCCGCCGCCCTCTCAAGGATGATTGGTCACGGAGCTTCTGCGAACCAAGGCAGCGGTTTGACAACTCGGACATGTGCGAGCGGGGTCTCATGCGGCCTGGACCCATCCCGCCAGGGCTTGGCTCGAATTCACGTCGGCGGCCACGTACCGTTCGGGCAGAGGATCACGGCAGCACGAGGCAACAGCGCCGCAGCTCTTCGCGAACTCTACATGCGAGACAGCGCATAGTGTCGGAAGACCGAAGGTACGCGGGTGTAGGCTGGGAAAATGCGCACAGCCTCTCCCGAGAGGACTGGCCGAATGCATTCTCTGCAAACTCTGCGGCGGTTGCAGTCTTTGAGCATGAGCAGAATGCGACCGGAGAAGCAAGGCGATCTTTGGCGCAGATTGTCGGCCGCGATGCAAACCGGCTAGTTACCAAGCGTGCTCTGGTCTTCCTCATGGGATGCTGGCCGATCGAAGCTGGATCTAGACCTTGTAGGACGAGAAAGCAGCCAGAGCGGACGGGGAAAGGCTGAGACCTATGCGTAGCCAGGGGCGGCTGCCATGGATCAGCCTCGTGCTTGGACACACGAAGCTGCCTCAGGATGGCGCGACTAGACGCCAAGACGACGCGTCGAAGCGGGCCGGTGCACCGGCCAAAGCAATGCCACGAAGTGCTTTGCGGCTGAGTCAACCTTGCGGATGACAAAGCAAGGAATCCTCTCACTCTCATCACGACCGAGCTCGAGACCTCTGCTGCGTTGGGGACGACGATCCATCTGAGTGTCGACCGGAACCGCGCCGAACGAGAAAGGAAAAAGGAAGCACAATGTCTACTCACCCGAGAGGAAAAGGGCACGATCGTGGCTCGTCGTTGTGTGCGTGTGAGAGAGGGAACGGAGCGGATGTAGTGCCAGCCTCTGCGGTCTCGAGGGGCAGGCGATCAGGGTCTGCTCCACAGCGTGAGCGGAGCGGTGGGGCTTTCACCCTCTTTCGATCTTTCGATCCGATGCGAAATCGAAAGACGGCAAAGCAGCGGGAAGCTGAAGAGGAGCAGAGAGGGATGTGCAAGCAGGTCAGTCGCTTTTCCGCGTGGTTTGTGTGCCACAACGACAGAAGATGGAGTGAGAAATAGAAGGTTCAGGGTGCAATTGGGTGCGCAGGTGCATGCATGCAGTCGCAAGGTTCGAGGCCGAAATTTGCCCTCGAGCCTCAACTGGACCTCAATGAAGGCCGTCCCGAGATGATCATCATCCGCTTGGCGGTGGCACGCGACATGCAGCAGAGTCGCCTGCCTTGGCTCTTGCTCACTCGGCAAGAAAGTCGATTCCCACGTCATGCCAGATGAGGCGAGAGAGTCGAGTCTAGGCCAACCGAGGCCCGCAGAAGTGGCAGCTAGTGAAGAGGCGCTGATAGCTCGGAAGAGCCGAGTGCGGCAATGCAAAACGATGAAGCATCCGAGGCAAAGGCACCGACGAGGGCAAAGGCCAGCGGTAGACAGCGACAGCAGATCCGACGACTCGTAGCGAGTCAGCTTTCCAAAGGCACGAAAGCCTGGAAGCGCAAGACTCAGGGTAACTCGAGGCCGACGTACCTTGAACGCGGTCAAGCGCAGCAGGAGACGCAAAATCACGGGAAAGGGGGAGCAGCAGCAGTGGATGCAGGAGGGTGGAGGCAACGCGCACCGGCATCAACAGGAAGGAGCAAGGGCTACTGAAAAGGGAATCCCGAGAGGCCAAGCTAGACGACCCTCCAAGACGTGCAGATGAGTGCAGATGAGAGAGCCGCATCGGCCAAGCCGATGCTTCGGAGCAGCAGGGCGCGAAACGTGATTGCAGCGGAGAGAAGCGAGAGCCTCGACGCGATTAGCTGCTGCAGTCGAAATGGCCCGGGTGTGCCACTCGAAGTCTCGTGAAAAAACAGCGGTGCCGACCAACTCTGACGATGGCAGATCTGCATGGATCTGGAGGGCCGAGGCGTCGGCTGTGCCGAGATGCACGAGCTCGCGTCTTCGGACCGTGTCATTTGGTGTGTGCGCGAGAGTTTGGCGGACTTGAACCGAGAGTTTTGCGCAAGCATGCATCCGGCAATGACCCCAGGCTCTCTCGCCGATCCTCACCAAACGGGAACAGGGCGACTACAGTACAGTACAGTACCAGCCACTTTGGCGGTACTTACCTTGCAAAAGGGAAAGAGGCTCCCGTCGTTTGTTTGGAAGGAAGTGAAGAGAATGCAGACGATTGGGGCGCCGCTCAAGTGGGACTCGGCCAGGTCCGAAGATTGGCCGCAGCGGGCAACAGCATCCTTGGACACTCTTCAGACCGGGCGGAGTCTCGAGTCTGGCTGGTGGATTGCGGTTCTTGTCGACGGCGTGGCCAGATGGAGATGAGGACGCGGCTTGGCATCCAAGCTGCGATCGACGGGCGGGGGAGGCAAGGTTTTGAATGCAAAGAAAGATTCAATGTCGGCGTGCACAATGGGCCGATGAAGCGGCAAATGAGAAGCCAGAGGATGCGGCGGGTCCCAACGTTGGTGATGGCGAGGCAAACGACGAGTCGCCGCTGGCGCTGCTCGCAGCTCGCTGCCGAAAGCCGACAAGGTTTGACCGTCTAGATCCGCGAACCGCGCCTCCGTGCCGGTTTAATTTCATGCTTTGCCCTCCCTCCGCTCCAATCACAAATACGGCAGCCGCCCCTTGACTGCACGCTGCGCTCCGCCCGGGCTGTTTTGCTCGCTCACTACAGTAGCTCGCTCGTCATCCGCTGTCCAGCGGATCGCGAACCTCGGGCCCGCCATCGCATCCAGTCCGGTCATCGCTTCCTCGCAGGCGCCTCTACGAAGTGGGCTGGCGTTGTGAGCGGATGCAGTGGGCGTTGACCAACAGCATCAATGAGCTAGCGGTACCGCCCACCAACCGCCTCCCACTCAACGGTACCGTCTGCACGCGAGCTGCACCTGACCCGCCAACTCAACCTTGGCGTCTCGGGTCTTCATCCAAACCTTAAAAAATTCAAATGCAAAGCGGTGTCGACGAGCTCGTCCGTCTGTAGCAGACGGTGATCCCCACCAGGCCGCTGCAGCAACGCGGCTCTGTTCGCACGGCGCAGCAGATCGAGTCAAATGTCCAGCGCCAGTTGCCCTCCGCTGTGCAGCAGGTCCCAGCCAAGAGAGAGAAGAGAGAGAGGCGCGCGGCGACACGCGTAGCTGCGTTTTCGTCGGCTCGCCCGTGCATGCGCCCCAACCTGACGGAATTTTCGCCCTCTTGTTGATGCCTCGCCTTTGCTGAGCAAGACCCTCGTTTTTCCAATTTGACACGCTGACGTGAGGTGCCATGCTTGCTCATCCTTGCATGACCGCCGCACAGCCGAGCTCCAACAGAGCCTCTCGCCGAGATGCCCGCACCCGCCGTCGCCGCGAAATTGACCACTCTGCAGGCCGCGTCGGTTGCCAAACCGATCTTCACCGACGTCCCGTGTTGGGGCTTGAACCAGCGGAGTTTCGGGCTTCGCTGCCCTTCCCCCCCTCCCTCTTTTCCGCTCCCCTCCTCCGAGCTCTTCCAGCTTCAGCCAGCATCAGCCGGCACTCGTCCAAGGCCGGGCAGCGTTAGCCAGAGTCAGCATCGGGCCAAGCTTGTGCCGCACCTCGACTGCGTACGGGTCGATCTCGTTGACCGTCAGCACGTCTTACGACCTCGAACAAAGACGAGCATTCGGCTTCTTGGCCATTCCAACGGAACGTGTCTACTTTTCTGTTCGGTTTTGGCACCAGCTGCGAGCGCGATTCGTCCTGCATTTCAACTCAGACTCCGCAGAGCCGGTGGCCGTGGCGTACAGAGCAGCGCTGTGCAGGGTCCAAGGGCATAAATCCGATGGAATCTTTGAGTGAGCGGTCAGAGACACCGGATGTGAGGGTGTTTTCAACTTGAGCCCGTGATAGTTGCTCGTCCAGCAGCCGCGGAAAAAGCGCCACTCGTCATCAGGCCTTGTCCATCGGGAACGCAGCCGAGCCCAGCTTTGCAAACGCCGGCATTCAAGTCAAGACCAAGGGCGGCTCAAAGCGGCCTCGCTTAGCTTTGGCGAAGGTGCCGAAGCCAGCTGACCATGTGGGGTCCTCCCCGGCGTTCAAGCGTTGTCGATTTCTTCGAGTCCGCCCGTCTTGGCGTCTCACAAACCTTCGGAGCAAACAGCGTCGCCTTCGCAGCGCTCACCTCTGCTCCAAATCATTACCTACTCCATCTGATGCCGGCTGCGACATATTGGCTCCGTTCGTTCCGCCCTCGCTCACAGGTTCAACATGCCTCGGTGGCTCATGACAGTGCGAAGACAAAAGCCGATCGGGTACGGTGGAGTGTAAGCTGGCAGTCTGTTCTCTTCCCGACTCAATCATCCGCTGACGCAACTCAAAAGGCTTGAACCAGCACTCAATCACGCCAAACGTGCACAGTGAACGTCCATGAGTTTTGATTCCATCGCCCTGTCTATGCGAAATCTGAGAGCCAGAGCGGATCCGCGCCGTCGTCGTATGCTCACGGAGAGTCCAGATCGCGGTCGCTATCGGGACTAGAAGCGCGACTGGAGGATGGGGGCGAGTTGCCGGTGCTCGACCAGCCAGACGCAGGCTCTACCGCATCAACACCCGCGCCGCTTCGCAGGTTCAGCGACCATTCAGGTGCTTCGTCACTCGACGAGTCGCTCGAGTCGTCATCGTCGGCCGGAGTGAGCTGGTTCTGCAGCCCCGACGTGCTAGCCTCGGCGCTCTGCGATGCACTCGACGCCTTGGACTTGGCGGCCTCCTGGAATTTTTGCCTCGACTTGCCACCGATCGGCCTCGTCGTCCGCCGGCGATAGAAGAGCAGATACGCCGAAGCGCTCTTAACACTCTCGGGGTTCGCCACCGGCCGTACGCTCGAGTCGTCGAATTCGTACCACTTGCCATCTGCCGGGCTCTTTGCGAACGCCGTGTAGTGCCCGCCGCCAAGCCCGCCAAAGTGGTTGTCCACCGCGTACAGGTCGTAGATCGGCTTGTCCACCGCCACCGCATCGTCGTTGTCTTCGAGCGGACGCAGGATGCCCGAGCCCAGCATGCTCTCCGAAAGCTCCTCGCCGCTCTGCACGGCCTCCTCCTGCACGCGCCGCAGCGCCTGCGTGCCCTCGACCCGATCCGTCAGATCCAGTCCCTCGAGCGGGAAGTCGACGAGCATGTTGAGCTTGTCGCGCGAGTGGCGCCCCGCGCTGAAGCGCTTCAGATGCACCACCAGGATGTCCGGTGCTTTCCAAAGGTCAAACTTCTTGGTCGCCTGTCGGAACTCCTTGCACGATGGGCAGTACCACGGATCGTCCTCTCCGAGCTGCTCCTCCCTGGTGAATTCGTCCATGCAGTCCTCGATCGACAGCGACTTGGGGCGCGAGGGGCCAGCCGCGTCGCGCTCGCGGATGGCCTCGTCGACCACTTGCTCGTAGTCTCCCCACAGCTGGCCGGAATCGGATTCGACCAGCAGGTCGCGTTCGCAGAAGGCGGACGACCATGTGCACACGATCGCGCCGCCAGTGTAGACCAGCGGAATCGCCTTGGACGCTTTGGGTGCGGCCTGAGACTCGTCATCGCCCTCGTCCATGTCCTCCTCGTCCGCGTCGATTGGTGTTGCGAGAGCACGCTTGGCGAGGCGCGCCTGTCGTTCCGTGATCTCCTCCGAGAGGTGATCTGCGCCGCTTTCGCTGCCCTTGGGAAGACCTTGACCGGCTTCGGCGACGCTGAAACGGATGCGAAGCGACGGCTCGGACTGCACGAGAGCTTTGCTGGCGGCCAGCGAAACGTCGGTGCTTGATGCACTGGCGTCGGACACCACAACAGCATTCCCATCTTCGTGAATCTCGGTGACCGCATCTGGGCCGACCGGTTGGCTCGGTGGTACGACCTCGACGTTGGCCTCGTTTGCGGCATCGTCGTCGACCATTTCCCAGTCCGAGATTTGGGCCTGAGCGGATGTCTCGGCTGTCGCAAGGCGTGCGACATCTTCGGTTTGCTCTTCAACCACATTCCGATACGCGTCCTGATCGCGCGCGAAGCGAGAGAAGCCGTCGGTGACGAGCTTGCGCACGGCGTTGAGATCGTTGATGTCCTGCTTTGGCACAGCGATGAAGAAGGGGATGCCTACCGGCTCGCCACGAGTGCGGCGGCTGACAAAGGCCTGGCTCGACGAGGCCGAGGCAATCTTTTGGGCATAGTTGGCAAAGACGGGCACGATGGCATGGTCTGCCTCGGGAATGTCGAGCGCCTCCTCGGCGTCCTCCACGGAGCGATGGTAGCGGTAGTGGCGCTGCTTGGACAAGCGCGGCGCGGCAGGCACCTCCCAGAAGTAGACAAAGTCGCCGTCCTTGATGTCGACGAGCGGCTCGTAATCGTCGATCCACTTGTAGATGCGGTGGTGCCAGACCTCGCCACAGATCAGCTGGCGCGTCTCGACGCCAAACTGCGCGGCCACCTTCTGGCGAAGCTTGCTGACGGTGCTGCCGGCTGGAAGCTGGACGTGAAACTTTTGCAAGGGCTTGGTGGGCTCGAGCGGCACAAAGTAGACCTGTGCGCGCCAGACCTTCTTGTTGGGGATGGGCAGCGTGAGGTACATGAATGGATCAAACTTGATCGAGATCTTGCTGCACTCGGGACACACGAGTGTGCTGCGGTACTGGCCCTGGAAGAGATCGACGATGACCGAGTCGTTGCGTGCCTTGTAGATGTCCCACTGACGCTTTGCAAAGGCGACGAGCGCCTTTTCGTCGCCGCCGTCCCAGTCGGGCGCCTCGATGTAGGGCTTCTTGAGAATGCGGTTGAGATCCTCGTGGAGGCCGTCGAGCAAGAAGGCAAGCAGCTCCTGGCTATCGTGCTGTGCGTAGCCGCTGAACTGGGGAGCGAATCGCGAGAGGGCGAACTTGAACTCGCGCGGCCAGAACGAGCCGCCCTGGCCGTTCCAGATGTTGGAGATGAGGTTTCCGAAGGCTTCTGCGATGGCGCCGCCCATGCCGAGCGGGTTGTCGGTGTTGAGCTCGTCGCGATACGCGCCCGAGACAAAGTACTGCTGCAGCTCGTACGTGTTGCTCAGGCACTGCAGCGCACTGTTCATGAAACACGTGTTGCCGAGGTTGTTGAGGCCGCGCAATCCGCGCGACCTACCCATGGTGCGGTCGGTCGCTGTTTGCGAACGCGTGACTCTGCCAAGAGCATCGCCCGCGGAGCCAGCAGCGGTGATGCTGGTGGTGCTCGCGCTGGGCTGTTGCAGGTTGCTGAAAAAGTCGCCGCTCTGCTGTGCAAAGATGCCTTTGACCGAGGGCGCCTCCTCGGCGGCTCCTTCTGATTGCCATCTTCCGGACTTGCGCGTCTCGACGACCAAGTTGACCTCGATCTCGTCGATGCCGATCGACTTGAGCGTGACGTCGGAGCGGTAGGTGTCGGGCTTGTCTTCGTTGGCATCGATGAGGTCGACGCCGTCGAGCTCGACCCGAGCGATGGTCACCCGACCCGATTGCAGCTCGCTGTCTTCGGGCTCGGGGAAGTGGTAGAAGCGCAGATCGACATCGGCAACGTCGCCGAGGTCGAAGGTGGTCTTGGCCTTGGCCTTGAGCTCGGACAGCTCGGTGCTGACGGACAAGCTGAACAAGGGCGCGCGGGTGACGTCGTCTTTGGTGTCGTCCTGGACCACGCGGAGCAGTCGGATGATGGGTGGGTAGAACTCGACACTCTCCTGGCCGGGACTGAGACCTTCGATGGCGTTTCTGGCAAAGACGGGACCAGTGCAGCCGTACCAAGCGACGAGGAGCTTCCAACCTTGCTCGGGAAGCATCTCGTAGTCGATGTGTTCGTTGATGTGCTGTCGCAGCTGTGCGAATCCGGTTGGCGCCTCGGAGTCCAAGAGGTCGGCGTTGTCGATGGGGCCGACGGGAGGATCTGCCTTCTCTGATGGATCCGCGTCGCGATGCTCCGAACAAGCGGCATCCCAGCGACGGTACCACGCTCGGCTGACGATATACCAGGTGTCGCCGGCGTGCAAGGGGAGGTTCCTCATGGGTGAAACGATGCTGAGCTGCTGTTGGCCTGTGGGTCTTGGCTCGTTGCTAGGCGCCAAGGACGAGGGAGGCAGAGGCACCGCCTCCTGGTACGAGGGCGGCTCTTCGTCGTAGCTGAGATCGGCGGACATGGCGGCGACCGAGGCGGGTGCGGCGACAGCGCCGTCGTCGAGACTGAGGGACTGCTCGGTCATGAGACCCTCAACGTTGGGGTCGAGTGATGCCATGACGATGCCGCTTCCGAAAGGGCGTGCTGAATGGAGCAGTTCGGCTGACGAGACGCTCTGGCGGAGCGGTGTAGGCTGCACGGACGACGCGTGTTCGGTGAGGTCGAGATCGCCCAAGTCGCTAGCGGAACGGGAGTAAGCGGACCTGTTGTCGTTCTCGACGTCGCTGCTGTTGTCGTCGATGATGGGGCTGGCGGTGCGCGCTCGCTTGTATGCGCTCGACCTGCGGTGATCCGTGGCTGAGAGGGCTGTGGGGAAACGCGGGCTAGGTTTGTGCTCTGGGCTGGCGTGCCGCGAGGGTGGTGGACGGCGCGCCGAGGAGGAGCTAGAGTGTTGTGATGATGAAGGGTCTGCGTCGATGGGTGGGGTGATTTGCGTGGTGGAATCGGGTGCTGGCTGGTGGGATGCGGTGTTGTCGAAGCTGGAATTGGAACGCATCGGCCCGAGGATGCTGCAAAGGCGAGAGATAGGAGATGAGCTGCCCGTTTGGCTGCACTTGTGGGTCAGCGCAGCATGGACTGGAAGGTGTCAAGTCGAGTGTGATGACAGTGCGGCGGGGCGAGGACCGCCAGGATGAATGCAGAGCCAGACGGAAGAGGGAGGGTGTGGAGGCCGAGATGAAGGAAGCGCTCGAACCAAAACGTGCGTAGCGAGCGGAGAGCGTTCAAACGGCTCATCGTCGGTTCTCTGGTTGGGCCGCGTCGGTCTGTGCTTTCTGGCTGCTCCTCGAAAAAGGGCAGAAAAATTCCTCTCTCGGTTTGATTTCGGTTGCGGAGAGAAAAAGCTCACAGGCCGACGTGACGCGGCTAAACGGATGTCACACGCTTGACTTCTTCATTCGGCCAGCTCAGTAGTCACTCGAGCGAAAGAACAGCCGTGCATTGGCTCGTCACACTCTTTGTGCCTGCAGCATCGGACAGGAACGGAGTGTCTGCCATGTAATCACGTGCAGTGTATGTGATTCGAGTGCAGATTTGGGACAAAGGACAGTGAATTACGGCCCAGCAGGGGTGCGTCGCCAAGCATTCTCGCCCACAAAGGCTTTTGCAGCTGCCTGCGGGTCGTCGGGGAAGCGGATAAAGAGGCCCTGCAGTTCTGCCATGCTCACTCCCCCTGATGCTGCCGGTGCTGGGCGCAGAGCGCGTTGCAGATCCGTCGTCGAAGAGGCGCCCGTCGCATCCGGGCTCGATTGGCTCGCTGGCTGCGCGGAAGCAGCCAAGGGCCTACCATCGGGTCCCAGTCCCAGAGCTGCTCTTCGCTGCTGTGCTTCTGCCGCGACAATTCGGCCGAGTTCGTTGGCGAGCTGGCTCAGTTGGGCATCGGTCTGCTCGACAGCCTCGCGAAGACCAGCCACAGCTTCGAGACTCTTGTAGGCGATCTCGGTGGATGCATGATCGGTCGCCTCGGCAGCCTGCGTGATGAGCGGCTTGGCAGCCTCGATGGCCGCGTGAGGCAGCTCGAGGCGCTTGAGCGCCATCTCTCGCATGGTGGTGCGGTAGAATCGCATCATGAGCTCCACCACCTGCTCTTCCTCGGCATCGCCCAGCTCGGCAATCATGTCCACGCGTCCCGGTCGAATGAGCGCCGGATCGAGCTGCTCGATGTGGTTCGTCGTCATGAAGATGATGCGGCTCTCGCCGCTCGCAACGCCGTCCAGAGCGTTCAGCAGACCCGAAAACGTCACCGACGCTTGGTAGCCATCCTCTGCCGCCTGCTGCCGACCCAAGAACGCAGCATCCACGTCTTCGAGCAGCAGGATCGAGCGGTCCGGCGCGTTGGAAAGCAGGTGGTTCAACTTGTCGTCCGTCAGTCCTCGTTCCGAAAGGTTGAGCAGGCAGATGTTGAAGTCCAGATGCCCTGCCAGCGCAGTGATGAACGATGACTTGCCACTTCCAGGAGCACCGTGCAGCAAGTAGCCCCTTCGGTACGGAATACCACGCTCAGCGTACCAGCGGTCGCGCTCGAGGAATCTCTTGACGTCGCCTACGATCGCCTCCTTCTTTCCTCGGCCCAGCACCACGCTGCCCAGCTCCCTCGTGCGCCTTGGCTGGCCGAACGGCCGCCATTCTGGACCCCAGCTCGTGTAGATCACCGTCTTGCCCTCTGTAGATGCCAGTGCCAATTGCCGTGCCTCGTCCAGCATCTGCGGAAACAAATGGGCGTAAGCAAAGAGCGTCGTAAGCGTCACCGTCTCCCACGGGGCGCCCGTCGTGAGATCGACCATCTTGCCGTCGCGTTCGCGCGTCAGTCGCATCCACACACCGCGGTATCGGAACCAATGGGTGCCCGGACCTGGGACGAGCGAAAAGCTCGCCTTGCCCCGTTCTTCATCGTTGGACTTCGATGCTGACGCATGGGGCGTATAGTTGGTCTCCACCGAGAGCTCGTGGCTGAGGATGCGCACGGGCGAGACCAGAGAGCCGCTCGATGCGATCATCAGCGGATTGTCCACGCCGCCTTTCAAGCTCGAACCATGCCTTTGCTCGCCAGATCGATCGCGCAGTCCGAGAAAGTCGACGAGCCCTTCCTTCTTGGGCTTGCCAAGCAGTCCGCGCTCGCGCATCGACTGTGCCCGTGATTGCGCCGCCATCCAGTGCAGGAACCACGGATGCGCTCGATCTTTGGATGGAATCTCGAGTGATATGAGCAGTCGCCTCTGTGCTGTCGATGCTGCCACCTTGACGCCTCTGCGAAGCACGGCGACTGCACCACCAAACACCATCAATCCCAGTCCTCCTGAAAAGATCGGATTGTCGGCAATCATGCTGGATATCAACGAGTTCGAGCTAGAACTCGAGATTGAACCGCTTGCCATGCTTGTGCTTGCGACGGGTCCCTGAAGTTCGACGTTCCCACTGGCAGAAGTTGACCCTTCGCTGCCGGTAGGCTTGTAGGACGAGGAGGATGCATCTTGCGTCGACTGCGAGCGCAGCGCATCGTCATCTTTGAATGTCGATGCAGGCTCGTTCTTCTTCATGGTCCGAAAGTTGAACATGCCGTCGGATATCTACGGGCCTAAAGCATGACGGAAGTGCTGGCCATATCTCGACAAAGCGGATGGCGAGGAACCTTCTTGCCCACAACCTTTTTGGCTCGGGATTCGGTGGTGGAGGCGACTTCCAAAAAGCCGAAAAGTCGGCTCGGGGCCAAATTTTCGCGGGAGTCGGACAACAATTCAGGGCCTCTGCAAGATTCGCCACTCTTCCTTCCCACCACGACCTCCCTCACACGACACTGGGCACGGCAACCGTACGTCAAGATGGCGCCCAAGCTGTGCGTAATCTGCGATAAGGAACGCGCCGTTCTGCGGCGGCCAAAGACGGCGCAGCAGATCTGCAAGGAATGCTTCTTCTACGTCTTTGAGACCGAGGTGCACCACACCATTGTCTCGAACAATCTCTTCCAGCGCGGCGACCGCGTGGCCATCGGCGCATCGGGCGGCAAAGACTCGACGGTGCTGGCGCACTGCATGAAGGTGCTCAACGAGCGCTACGACTACGGTCTCGACCTCTTCCTGCTCAGCATCGACGAGGGCATCACCGGCTATCGCGATGACTCGCTCGAGACGGTCAAGCGCAACCAGCAGCAGTACCAGCTGCCGCTCAAGGTGCTCGGTTATGGCGAGCTGTATGGCTGGACTATGGACGATATCGTCAAGAGCGTCGGGCGCAAGAACAACTGCACCTTCTGCGGTGTCTTCCGCCGACAGGCTCTCGACCGTGGTGCAGCGGCGCTTGGGGTCGACCACATTGTGACGGGCCACAATGCCGACGACGTCGCCGAGACCGTGCTGATGAACGTTCTGCGTGGCGACATTGCACGTCTGGAGCGATGCACCGAGATTGTCACCAAGGGTCCTGACGGCAGCGAAGACCCCGAACACGATGGTTGCGGTGCCAGTGGGTCCAATGGCATCGGTGTTGGAGGCAGCGGGATCCGACGAAGCAAGCCGTTCATGTATGCCTACGAAAAGGAGATTGTCATGTACGCCTACTTTAAGAAGCTCGACTACTTTTCCACCGAGTGCATCTACTCGCCCAACGCGTACCGCGGCTATGCACGCACGTTCCTCAAGGACCTCGAAGCCATTCGGCCCTCGACGATTGTCGACATTATCCAGTCCGGGCAGAATCTCAAGATCTCGAGCGTGGTCAAGCAGAGCCGCAAGACGGAGCTGCAGAACTGCGTGCGCTGCGGCTACATCTCGAGTAACACCGTGTGCAAGGCGTGCATCCTGCTCGAGGGGCTCGAAAAGGGCACGCCCCAGCTGGGCATCGGTAGCGAAAAGTCGAGAAAGATCAAAGACATTCGCAACGATAATGCGACCAAGGCGCAAGAGGAGGTGGGTCGAGAGAGGAGGATTCCACAGTGGACAGGCGTCGCACGCAATGCTCCACCCATCAGCTCCCTTCCCTTCGTCCCACCACAACGCAAAGCGGATCTTTCATTTTGATGTGACACACACACACACGCAGCACTTGTATTTGTATCGTCATGCCTCCCCGTGGGTGGGCTTCATATAAGATTTTCACGAATCATCGTTGGAACGTCTGG